CTGATCTGTACTTATTTTGTTTTCAACAACTGCTAAACGTTGGTCCTTTTTAGCACTCTCAGAAATCACGTATATGTTTCTATACGCTGTCTCTGACCTCCACTCCATCTCAACACCACCTTATTTCTGCTTTGTGATAAACCAAGCAAACACCAGCTATGCACCTCAGCCTTCCTGAGGTGGAGTCCAGGATGGCTTTTCAATTTCCACATGTGGTCACAGGGGACAAAATGCGAAGGACACGAGACTCAGTGTCGAGTAATATCAATTCCGGACCTCAGAGGTAAATTTCTTGATAATACATTTAGGTTGTGAGATAGATGAAAGTTATCTGAAGGTCCCTTGGATTCACAGGGCCTCCTGCAGCACAGACTAAGACCGAGATCAATATGCCTGGTGCTGCTGTCAAAAGGGTGCTGTTAAACTGGAAAAGAGCAAGAAGGGAGGAGGAAAGAATCAAAGAGCTGGAGCTTTCTTTGAAAAAGGAAATTACCTCAAACATCCTGGTTTGAAAGGCAAAAAAAAAAGGACAGGGGAGGGGAGAGGAATGTACGAGACCTGCGAAATGATATATTCAGGAAACACACTAGCCTCTTTCATTAAAGGATAAATATATTACCCACTGTCTTGCCTCCACAGAACAAGATTATAAGTAAATAATCTATGATACTCTTAGAAGTGACTCTAGGGATCACTGAGTCCAGTCCCTGACGGGGGACATTCTGGGCTTTTAAAGGGTTTCTCCCCTGTGTGGATTCTCATATGGCGAGCTAGTTGCGTCCTCTGACTGAAGCACTTCCCGCATTCCACACAGGCAAATGGCTTCTCTCCTGTGTGGATTCTCATATGAGGGGCAAGGTTTGTCCTCTGAGTGAACATCTTTCCACATTCGAGGCATTGAAAAGGTTTTTCCCCAGTATGGATTCTCACGTGAGAGCGAAAACTCGACCCCTCATGGAAACACTTCCCACATTCCAAGCATTTATAGGGTTTCTCCCCTGTATGGATTGTCATATGGCGATCAAGTTGTGTCCTTTGACTGAAACACTGTCCACATTCCACACAGGCAAATGGCTTCTCCCCTGTGTGGATTCTCATATGGCGAGCAAGTTGCATGCTCTGACTGAAGCACTTTCTGCATTCCACACACGAAAATGGCTTTTCTCCTGTGTGGGTCCTCATATGAACGGCAAGGTTTCTCCTCCGCGTGAATGTATTTCCGCATTCCAAACATGCATAGGGCTTCTCTCCTGTGTGGATCCTCCTATGGGAGCGAAGGGTGCTTATGTCCCTGTAGCTATTTCCACATTCCAAGCATGCAAATGGTTTCTCCCCCTTGTGGATCCTCATATGAGGGGCGAGGCATTTATAGGGTTTCTCCCCTGTGTGGATCCTGATATGGGAGAGAAGGGTGCTTCTATGCCTGTAGCTATTTCCGCATTCGGAGCATTTAAAGGACTTCTCCCCTGTGTGGATTTTCATGTGGGAAGCAAGGCTTCGGTTGTGACCAAATCTCTTCCCACATTCCGAGCATTCAAACGGTTTCTCCTCCACGTGGATTCTTCGATGGGAACTGAGAGTGCTTCGACAACCAAAGCTTTTCCCACAATCCATACAGGTGAAGGGTTTCTCCCCTGTGTGGCTTCTCATGTGGTCACCGAGGTAGCTTCTCCGATTGAAGCACTTCCCACATTCTGAGCACTGAAACGGTTTCTCCCCTGTGTGGATTTTCATATGGAAAGCAAGGCTTGTACTGTGGCTGAACTTCTTTCCACATTCCAGGCATTCAAATGGTTTCTCCCCTGTCTGGAGTCTCATGTGAGAAGTATGGTCTGTACTCTGACCGATGCCCTTGTCAGACTCTGTGCATCTAATGGGTTCCTCTTCTCTCCGCATTGTCAGATATTTTTCTGGGGATAAAGCATCACAAAAATCCTCACTGTATTCTGAGCATTCTATCATTTTTCTCCCTCGGTGGATCTCCCACTGAGCATTTAGACCGATCTGCCCAGCAAGACTTTCATTGCCCTTAAGACTTGTGTTGCTTTCATCTACTCCTTCCCGGAAAAAATGTTCAAGAATATTTCCATGTGAGAAAATAAAAGATTCATTCCCCTTCTCTTCAATTTCTGTTTTATCTCTCTGGCGTTTTCCTTCTTCCGTGACTTTTTCAAAGCATACTTGAAACAGTTCTTCCTTCAACCTGCCTTCAGCCCCCCTTGGAGCTGAAAGAAAAAAAAAGAAAAACTGGATGTTCTGTAACAACCTCATCACCACCAATTAAATATAAACCACCTTAACCACAATGAAGCAGAAACTTGTCAGAAAGAAGCATCACGAGGCTATAGATAGACCATTTGATATTGTGGAGCTGCTCATGAAATGGTTTCATCAGTGGAACTTTAATTTATCATGAAGCCTTTAAGACTAACACATTTATTTCAGTGTCAGCCGTTTTGTTTGTGGTCCACTTCTTTAGACACCCAACCACTTTGGATTGTAGTCCGCAAAACAGAGAATGAGATAAATTTAACACAAGATTTGTGTTGCTAATTTTGTGTCACAAGTGTCCTACCTTTTAAAAGTATACGCCTGAAGAGAATTAAAGTCAGCAATGTTCAGACTGAACCCTTCAATGTCATTTCTCCAGACTTTCTCATGAGAATTTGTTTAAGCGGAACAAAGAAAATTGTTTGTTCTGTTTAAAGCTTTGTTCCGTTCCAGAGAGGAAATTGGGGGTTCAGGCTCCGATCTCATTATATCCCCATTCACTTTCCCCTACCTGTTCCAGCTGCATATGCGCTATTTCCGCTCCTCCACAAAGGAGAGATGAGTGAGAATCCGTCCCCAGCATGGTTCTAAAGTCTGCAAATGGAGAGAAAGGGATGGAAAGATAATTATTCTTCATAAACAGTTTATCCCTTACCTGTGCAGGAAAAGTCATTCCTGCTGTTTCTATTAGCAAAAGCTTATAAACCTGTGGGAATGCAGAGGATCTAAAATTCAACTCATCAATCGGGGGGGGGGGGTTAAGGAAGCGAATCCAACAAAATGACGCAGATAAACTTCTTACCTCGTAGAGCAGATCCTCCGCTCTTTTCCTTTGTATTCTTCAGGCGGAGATGCCTCCTTGTTGGGTCTGATGGAGTTTCTCGTGCCTGGGGAAAGCCAAAGAAGGTTTCTGAAAACTCCAGAAACAGTATAAGGACAATGCACACAACAATGAAAATCATTTTTAAAAAAAATAATAGCAATCATCATGTTTTTAAAACTGCACAACTGGTAGGGACCCTATGATCACATGCTTTTGTCAGACAGTTTCTGAACTTTTAAGGAAAACCAGAACCCTCACCAGCTGCTCTGCTTGCTTCTTATACGCCCTCTGACTCAGGAAGAAACCTTCCGCCAGGGACACGGCCTGCGAAGTGGATTCCGGCCTACATTCTCTGACCCACATCCCCATCTTTGCTGGAAGGACCGTCAGGAACTGTTCAAGGATCACCAGGTCCAGGATCTCTGCCTTGGTGTGTTTTTCTGGCTTCAGCCACTGGCGGCAGAGACGATGGAGTTGGCTGCAAACCGCCCGGGGACCTTCATCCTCCTGGTAGCAGAAATCTCGGAAATGCTGGCACTGAACCTCTGGGCTGAGGAATTCGCCATGGAGGTTGGTCTGTGCTGTTCTTTCCAGGAGGTCCTCTTTGCTCCAAACCTCCATGTCATTGAGCTTTTTATCAGCTTCAGCACCAGCCAAGTCTCCTCCAAACCACAAAAATGGAACGGAATGGAATGAGGATTCTACCAAAGACACATAATTGCTGCAGATTAATTTTTTTTGGGGGGGATGCTATGAATAACATATGTGGAGGCTTTCCAAGTCCTAAGGCTCTCACTGAGATTTGAGAAAGGCTCTCTGCTCCTTTCCCACAACCATGAACGGCTCTCAATATCTCCTCACCTTGCCTGCCTCTCTGCTTTCCACCTTTCTGGAGGTGAGGGGGAAGAAACAGCCCCAGAGAGACTGAAAGGAAGACAGAGGTCTTTTCAAGGTAAAGAGAAGAGTGACACACAGATGTATTTCATGGCACTAATTGCCTTTAATTGCCACAGAGTGCTGTCCTCTGAAGATGCCGGCCACAGAGACTGGCGAAACTTTAACAGGAACAGCCTTCAGAACACGGCCAAAGAGCCTGAAAAACCCACAACAACTAATTGCCTTTAGTTATTGCTGTTTTAAAATTCAATCTAATTTAATCTGCATAACTACAACACTACAATGCTAAAAAGAATGCTTTCTTCTTAAAGACAGCTGAAATCCCCGTCTTTTCTAGTGTCTGCTTTTCTCCTTCGTACTTTGCCCCAGGAATTAATGTCTCCTTAATACACATTGGCTTTACAAACAGAAAGTGCTTCAGAGAAACGTTCTCTTGGATAGAGAAGCGACTCCCAGGGAATTAAAAAGGTACTCCTCCTGATCTGTTCTCAGCCAACATTTCCTACCCCTGAAAGACAATACTATGATTTCCACCAGATATGGAGTTCCCCAAGTTTTGTAGGCAGGGAAAGGAGGCATCTTATTGCCTTCAGAAGGAACTGAAAGTGAACAAATGACATTGAATCAGTGTATGAGAAGGAAAGAAATAGACGACCAAGGGGACCCCCCAGGCTCTCTGCCAAGTCCCCTTCCCTTCCTTGTGGGGCCGAGAAGCCCAGCACACACTTGCACACACGCCTGGTTGTGAGCTGGGGACAGGGGCCCAAGTTGGAGACCCCGCACGCCACACCCACCATGAACACAACGTTTTCCCTCCTCTGAGACGACCTGCCCTCAGCTGCCTCTCCCTAATTATTCGCCTCCAAAAGGACATTAACCGAGTCATCAAATTTCACCCAACCCCCTCCCCCCTCCAAAGAAGGTAACACTGGAGCTTCTCTGAAGGCCCTGCAAGAGGGCAAGGGCATCATCCGCCGCCTGAGATGTCCCTCAAACAAAACCCATCCAGAGCCCAGCCTCTTGGGGCACAGCTTAGGTTGGGGCTCTTTGGCCGGACCCCCCCTCCCCGTTCCCAGCCCGCAGAAAAGTCCTCCCCCTCCTCCTCCTCCCCCCCGCCCCCCCACGGCCCAACCATCCCAGTTCGGAGTGATGGGGGTGGAATCCATGGGGAGGGCTCGCCTTCACAGGCTGGAATGAAGAGAAGGTGGAGGTTTTTTTGGGGGGGGGGCGATCCTCAGAGGAGGCTCACCGGCCCCGATCCCAGAGGGAGGGAAGGAAGGAAGGAAGGGATCGTGGCTCTTCCAGGGACTTCCTCCTTCCAGTCGAGGCTCCCTTCCTCCGGGCTCTGCTGCCCCTCGACACCGTCCTCCAGCCTTTCCACCCCTCCCCAAGAACCGAGCCGCCCTTCCTTCTCCAGGCGATGCCCCGCCGCTTCCCTCCCTCCTTCCCCGGCTCCGGAGCTCACCCTCTTCCCGGACTTCCAAAGAAGGACCTACTCGGAACTCCCGCGACGAGACTTGCAGGCGGGAAGGGGTGGAAAAGGCACCCGACCTCCAAGGCGGAAACAGGAAGGGGACCTTCTGCCACGGTCCATCCCGTTTGACGCTCTGGGACTCGCTAGTCGATGGTTTTAACGCTATGGGAGAGATACAGTGCCTCCCACGCACAAAGGTTGCAGCATCATCCCTTTTCTTGGTTTACCTTTTATTGGATGTTATTTCCATCCGAAAGAAACTTGCAAGGCGGGTACATGCTGTACTTTGAAAGCCCATCTTGCTTTTAATTCAGCATTACAATCTTTTCCATTGTGAGAAGGTTTTGTCTTTTGTGCGTTGTTGCTTTTGTGAACCGCCTCAAACCTCGTATGTGAAAGGAGGGAAATGAATAATAACAACAACCTTTGAGCTGCAGAACTGGAAGGGACCCTATGGATCATCAAGTCCAGCCCCTGTCAAAGAGATACAACAGAGGAATCGAACTTCCAATCTCTGGCTCCGCAGCCGGAGAGCTAAACCACTCAACTATTCATCAATTTAGTATATTAATTCTAAGTTTTTGTTCATTTTGCTGAGCCTTGGAATCATTGTTGGTTTTATGGGGGTTTCTTCACGTTGCTCAAAGATAATAATAATCAGCACACTGGGTGGGGGAGCAATCAACACTTGGAGGTCTGTGATCAAAGCCCTCCACAAGTGATCTCTATTTCCACAGAGGATGATGAAACAGTTTTTGGGGGGCAGGAGATTTAAAAGGAAAACGTAAGACTGGAGGTGAGAGCAAGGTGCCTCTCACGGGTGAGTCGTCCCTCTCGCTAAGCGCCGATAAAGAGAGCCAAATCTCACCAATTCCCCTTCCCAAGAAAACAAGAGCACCTGGATCAGACCCGGGGAGGATAAAGGAGGATTTCAAAGAACTAAAGTCAAGGACCTTATTCTCATGTTGGAAGTTCTGAATCAACAAATAAGAGAATCAAAGGGTTAAAGGTTAAAGGAGAAGAATTCAAAATTCAAGCTTCTGCTGGTGATCTGGTAATAATCTTAGAAGAACCTATGACGTCAATAGAAACATTAGTAGAGACAATAACTGATTATGAATATATGTCAGGTCGTAAAATAAATAAACAAAAAACAAAAATTCTGATGAAAAATATGACAAAAGAAAAAGAATAATTACGAAAACACTCCGGATGTCAAGCAACGTGCAAGGTTAAGTACTTAGGAATTAATATGACAAAAAAACCAAGTACTGTACATTAATGAAGAACAATTATATGGAAGTAATTAAGAGTGGTAGAATATACCAGATGGGTGGGATATAAATCAAACAAACAAATAAATAAAAATAAAGAAATCAAAGTAGATTTGTAAAAATGGATTAAACTCCAATTATCTCTAATGAATGGAATAGTAAAGGTAAAGGTTCCCCTTGACAATTTTTGTCCAGTCGTGTCCGACTCTAGGGGGCGGCGCTCATCCCGCTCTTCAAGCCATAGAGCCAGCGTTTGTCCGAAGACAATCTTTCCGTGGTCACATGGCCAGTGTGATTTAGACACGGAACGCTGTTTACCTTCCCACCGAGATGGTACCTATTTATCTACTCGCATTTGCATGCTTTCGAACCGCTAGGTTGGCGGGAGCTGGGACAAGCGACGGGCGCTCACTCCGTCGCGTGGATTGAATGAATAGAATAGAATAGCCGCAATAAAAATGAGTACACTACAAAAACTAGTTTTCCTCTTTCAAGCAATCCCAATATTATTAAAACAAGACTTTTTTTAAAAAGAACTGAGTAAGATACAGTAATGACCACATTTATTTGGGATGGGGAAAACCCAAAAATAAAACTTAAGGCTCTTCAGAACAAAGGGGGAGGGTTGGTCTACCAGATTGGATGAATTATTACAGAGCAGCAGCTATCCTGGGTGAGAAAATGGGTTACTATACAAAATCAGAGACTTTTAAAAATTGAGGAGCATGATTTAAGACTGGGCTGGCATGCCTACCTATGATACCAAGATGATAAGCAATGCAAAACATTTAATTTACATTTGATCAAGAGAGCTTTATTATGGGTCTAGAGGACAGTTAAGGTACAACATTACAGAAAGATACCATCATGGGTAGCTCCATTAGAAACGTTCTCTGATCCGGCAAGAATACCTCAAGGGACAAATGGGAGATATGCCAAGATATTAGATAGTGATTTTAATCTAAAGAACAAATATGAACTGGCAGAACAAGGTATTATCTTAGACTGGCAGTCGATAAACTTGTTGAAATCAAGATATGTAAAAGATAAAGCTTCTCTATAGGTTTGAGAAAGACAAAATACCTTTGGATATGGTTGCTGGATTCAGAGGAAAGATTGATTTAAAGGTTTATATAATACTTAAATGGAGCAAAAAATGGAAACTGAAATTGTGAAGGATTGCGTGGTAAAGTGGGCTCAAAATATAGGACATAATATAGAATTAAGTGCCTGATCACAAATTTGGGAACAGAATATTAAAATGATTAAATCTATAAATCTAAAAGAAAATATAGGCAAAATGTTTTACAGATGGTATGTATCACCAGAGAAATTAATAAAAATGTATAAAAATATTTCTAATAAGTGTTGGAAATGTGAAAAGAATGTAGGGAGCTTCCGTCATACAGTATGTGGTGGACGTGCAATAGGGCCAAGGGCATTTGGAAAATTAATTATGAAATGATAGAGAAAATTTTAGGGGTAAAAACTGCTTTGACACCAGAAAGCTTCTTACTGAGTATATTGCCACTGTACTAAAAAAAACCCAAAAAAATACTTGACTTTACACCTGATAACAGCAGCTAGAATTGTATATGCCAGTAAGTGGAAGATGACAGAGATCCCGACAAAGAAGGAATGGACTGAAATATTTCTAATAAGTGTTGGAAATGTGAAAAGAATGTAGGGAGCTTCCGTCATACAGTATGTGGTGGACGTGCAATAGGGCCAAGGGCATTTGGAAAATTAATTATGAAATGATAGAGAAAATTTTAGGGGTAAAAACTGCTTTGACACCAGAAAGCTTCTTACTGAGTATATTGCCACTGTACTAAAAAAAACAACCAAAAAATACTTGACTTTACACCTGATAACAGCAGCTAGAATTGTATATGCCAGTCAGTGGAAGATGACAGAGATCCCGACAAAGAAAGAATGTACTGAAAAGATTTTGGAACTAACAGAAATTGATATTTTGACCGATATACTAAATGACAGACTGGATAATAATAAATGGAAACCTCTTTATACCTGGATAAAATCTACATCAATTTAAGTAGAATAGATTAGATCAATACTATGTTAGAGAGTATAAGATAAGATTAAATGAATGGAACATATTGTAATAAATCACTCTGGCTGCAATGGAAAGAAATGTAGAAAAAAAGACAATAAAAATATCTAATAAAAAACAATGTGGGTAGTGGTGGAGGTGGGGCTGGCGGATATCAAGGGAGGTGAAGGAGGGCTTCCACCGGGCTGGGTATGGATATGGGTTGAAGAGCCCTGGACTGGAAAGGTGGAAAGACTGAGAATTCCAAAGGAGGAGGCAGATGTGAGGAGGAAAGCTCACCCCCAAACCATCCTATTGGGGTGAGAGACAGACCAAAGATTGGCGAAAGAAATTGAGGAGAAAAAGACAAGGTTGAGAGAGAACGGAGAGAGAAGTTGGAATGTAGGATATGGGAGATGCAACGGAAGGGACGCGGGGAGGACCCTGGCAGATTGGGGAACCCATCAGGGAGGGTGACTGGGTGGATCTTCGAGACGAGGACTCCATCACCTTATTGGCAGAGGGGGAAAAGGAATTACTACTGAACCCAGGTACTCCACCTTAATGGCCGGGACCCTGGAATGTTCCTAATGGAAACCCATTCAGTTTTGAGGAATGGAAGACCCCAACCCTGAGGTCTGGTGGGGAGAAAGGTTGGAATATGTATGTTGAGACAGGACTTTTGCTAAATAATCCAATAAAAATCACACCCATTTCAAAGCCGAGAAAGTCTGGTGATTTAGTTGGAGCACGTCTGGAGCCAAACACTGAACCCTCACAGAAAAGGAAGGAAAAGGGATTAGAACCCCTTGCGGATCGTGCTTCGCAGAAACACCGACATTGCTTCCGCATTAAAATGTCAAGACTGGGTGAGAATGCTGGATTTCCCCGCAGGGCTGCCATCCCTCCTTTTTTCAACCAGTTCTACAAAATAAGGAGATAAGCACCAGATGTGTGCCATTTGGGATTTATTTTCTTTTTAAAATTTTGGACTCTGATCCCTAAAATTCTCCAAGAATTTCCCTGGCAGAATTCCAGCCCATAGATACCTCTTTCACTCACCTGGAACAGGGCCTAGCTCAGAGGCTTCTGTGTTTCCTGTTCTTAGTGTATATATAAAAAGAAACTGCCCTTGTGCTTCCTAGGAGGCTCGAGGTATTTTTATTTGCAATTTAACTTATGAAAGTTAACTTAACTTAATGGTGGCTAAGATATTAGTCTTTATAAGGGTTTAAAAAGGTGCCTGAGTGGTTTCTTTAACAGCCTGAGGAGTGTTCTGCCCAGATAGTGTGAAAAGTTGTGGAAAGGTCAGTGTCAGAATGTCATACAGTCCAGGATATGGCTTGACTTTCCAAGTTTTATCAGATGAAGTAAATCTGCTTGTAACTTTTCAAAATTTACATGTTTCCCAATTTTGGATTTCACATAATGCATATGAAACCGATGAGTAAAGCGTGCAGAATTATTGAATCTTTATTTTCATCCTTTGAGGAACGATATTGAGCTTTAAAACTATTAACACTTTCATATCCAGATTAATGTAGATATGGTTAATATGGTTATCTGACATTGCACCAAAATTAAACCTATAAAGTGAAAAATGTTAGCTGTGATCGGCCATCACAGACTCGGATTACAAATATGTGTTATAAATGTTATTTTGCTCCAAGGACCTTTGAGTGTTTTACACTGGACCTTCACAAGCCCTCTAGTACAATCACAGGAACGTCTTGAGTTAC